ATTGGATTATTTATGCTCTATGAGATGAGGCAACTTACTATGAGATTCAGCCAACTAGATTGTGTTGTGAACGCCAAGTCCAAGAGTCCAAAGCCGCTTGTTCTCGCAGGCTGTACCTCACGTTGTCTCCAAGGGGGATCACAAGGCCATCGAGATGATCGTGGAAAGAATCGACGACAAGGAGATGCGGAGCCGCCTTAGAACTAGTTTCAGACGTTGAATTGATGTTTGATATTGTGGGGCTTGGGATTCTAAACCCTTTACTGTTGATCTTTTTATTAAAGGTGCTAGTTGCTAGTAATATCGACGAATTCTTGCATTGCTATCCCAAGACATAGTACAGTACAGTAAATGCTGCACGTGTGGTGCGCTTGTTGTGCAGCCTCCAAAACAGCCACGAACCTCCGTGCGGAATCGAAGGACGGAAAAGTACAAGACTTGAACGTCTTCGACGGACAGTATAGTCATAGAGAAGATTTTCTGAGTCCAGTTGGCCAAGAGTGCTGCCAATACTATGGAGAAGCTACTTACTACTTACTGACATTAGAGACGCTTCTCCGCCGGCCTCAGGATGTTGAAATCCGCGAGGAAGCCATCCGTGCCCTGGGAAAAGTGGCGACACCAGGCACACGGTGAAGATGAGCGAAGAGACATTCACAAGGAGTAGTGACAAAGAACATTGATATTACACAATGAAGTGGTCAGACAGGTGATGACAGGCGACAACTCTGGGAAAAGTCTCTTGCAGGACAGGATACTTATGATACTTGTCCAACTCTTCAGATTAGTCTGAGTCTGATCGATTGACTCCTGTTCTGCATTTAAAATCATTTACAATCAATGAATTTAATTTAAAAGGTACATAATGTTTCCCAGACATAGTGTTTGTGTCCAGCGCCGGACTGCCCACTGCGCAGACGACCACGTTGCTTTGAACCACATCATTCGAGGGCTGAGAGACGAATCGATCTATGTCCGCCAAGCTGCACTGGAGGTGATGCCTCTACAGGGGTGAGTTAAGTCGTGGATCGGTTTAACTTTTCAATACATGTCCCGGGGACCCCGGGGGACGGCGACATGTAAAACAACGCACATCAGGCACAGTATTTACAGCCTTCGGCATGCCGCCGGCCACCAGCTCGAGCCCGCATTGGCAGGCAGCTTAATGATACAATACCCTGCTCAATCATACTTGTTGGTGCATTGCAGGTGCACATTTGGCTGGGTGAGTTTGTTGATGTTTATTTCAAGGTTGTTTGACCATGAAATGGAACAAATCCGAATCAGAGGTTGTCTATTCTGATCCAGCGATCCGAACCGGCATGTCTCAGTCGAATCACCTAAGAGGAACCAAGTGAAACCAACACAAGCAATGCGAACCAAGACTATCCACAAAACATGACCTTGAAAGCGATTCTTCTTCCAAACTACTTGGCCGTGTGCATGTTTTCCTTTTCAGATCTATTTTTCGACCATCTCGAGGGATTGCGACACGCACCAGATATTCTTTTTCACACACAGAAGGCTTCAAAGCGACCGAAGAATTTCTAGATCTGGCATGATTTGTCGTTTTTTTCTCCAAACCGTTTGAAATGAAAGACCCAGAATGACATCGAACAACAATACCCTGCTCAGTCAGACTTGTGGGTGCATTGGAGTTGCACATTTTGCTGGGAGAGTTTGTTGCTGTGGAGTTCAAGCGAAGTCGTTTTACAATGAAATGGAACGAATCCGAATCAGAGGTTGTCTATTCTGATCCAGCGATCGACATGTCTCAGTCCAATGGTTGTCTATTCTGATCCAGCGACCTACTACCTAGTACCTACGACCTATGACCTACGACCTACGACCTACTACCTACTACCTACTACCTGCGACCTACGACCTACGACCTACGACCTATGACCTACGACCTACTACCTACTACCTACTACGTACCACCTACTACCTACTACGTACCACCTACTACCTACTACCTACGACGTATGACCTATGACCTATGACCTACGACCTACTACCTACTACCTACTACCTGCGACCTACTACGTACCACCTACTACCTACTACCTGGGGGGGGGGCGTCAGGCTGTCGAAAATCTCGCGCGGAGAGACAATACTCAAGCAATACTAACCAATACAAGCAATACTAACCAAAACAATCCACAAAACACGCCGGCAGGCCGGCGGATTTTATTGCTCAACGACATGATCAACGGGCAATTAATCAGTAGGTGCTGGTTTATTGTGGTTTAGTGACTTTCTGAAATCCGCATTTCTTGCTTGGCAATTTCTTCCTCCTGAAATAGTTCATATTTGATGTAATAATGCATTGGCAAGAGGTCCAATTAGTTTGCCTTAATCGTGTTGTTGAACAATTGCTTGCCTGACTTACCACCCTGTTGGCTTCCAAGTCATTTGTTGCTTCGACCGCGTTTGCTGTTTCTGTACTTTGCCGTAAGAAATCACAGCAACTGTCCTTCGCTCGTCGAGTGGATGTTTGGAACTCTCAGTTCTAGATTCTAAAATGTGGTGCGATGTCATGAGGGATGGTGATTTCTTTGCAAGGTTGTTTCGCCCGTACGGTTGTTTCAACTTGGGTGATTTGGCGCGGGCACCAGCAGCACCAGCTTGGGATGCAGCTGCCCGAATGGTCAATGGTAGCGCTGGTAGTGTGCCGGAAGTGCTTTGATTGAAACTGCAGCAGTGCATGGACTCAGTTGCAAGTATTGGAACGATGGCATAGAGAGATGATGGTTTGTTCTTTGTTCCGCGCCCATGACAATGGCAACTATGAACTGATCTGGCCAAATCAAAGTGCTCCTACCCATTGCTGCATTCTGAATCAGCCTCCATGTGCTATGTTTTTTGCCATGGTCACTGTCCAAACTGTCAGTTGCACCACTTCTCATCAAAACTTAACATTTCATTGACCACTCATGTAATGAGTTCGTGAGGACTCGCTATCAAAGCATGCTTTTGTCGTACCTGGTCCCTCAATATATAGATTCCGTTGTTGTAGTCAACAAGCATCCGTGTTATTGCAAGTACCTTTAGTGACATGCCCTGTTTTGAGGGCTTGTCGACCACTGCCCATCATGAGAATCCAACGAGTCATCCGCAGTGTCACCAGCTAGTAGCTAGTGTCAAAACGGTGGAGCTGACAGGCTGGACGCGTATCCAAGGCCATTGCTATAGATACCCTTTTGAGAGAGAACGAACAGACTTCAAAATGGAACTTCATATCTATGACTTGCTTAGGAGTTGTTGACAAGCAGCACAGTCTTTCGGGCTATATACTTGGCATTTGCATCACCAGTTCAAATTTGAAAGACTGTTAGACATGAGCATACATGGACTGCTAGAGTCTGCTCGGAACTGAATGTTTGTAGGCTTTTTGGCAAAGACGAGACCTAGGTATATACGGATGCGTTGAGGTTTTCGTGTTCTGTGAATTCCCCAGACACAAGCCAAAGGTGAGGGTCTTGGAAACATCCCTGCAAGTTTCCGATCCTGGATCTTCCAATTGATCGGTTGGAGTGATTGCTCCACCCTTCGGGAAGCTTTGCTTGCTTGTCAAAGATTTCCACAAGCAGCGTGGTAAGAGCGGGAAGTTCACTCACACATGACATACACATTTGTATCGTTTTGTTGCTCCTTGATATGTATATACTGGAAATTTGTATGAAACATATACTATTATCTACTACTTGAATAACTTGAATTTAGTTGTTTTTACAATCTATTGTAACTATAAATATATTGATGTGTTATTGATCATCATCCGTGGCACAACGAATCTGTCAACTTGGTTAGTCTTTGCATTGCACCTCCCAGACGTTCAAAATACTCAAGCCGCAATTAAACCATTGAAGTATCGTTTAATCCAAATTAAACAGTGAATCATTGGGTTAGTTAATGTTAGTTATATATATATTGTTAATTGTTTTGTAGAACATTGACTCCAATTTCGATTTAAAGCCTCATTGAATCCAACTTTGATTTTCCAAGACATGCCTGCATTACTTTCCCTAGCATCCCTCCACAGTCTTGGCACTTTGGAAACATTTCTGGTGCTTGTGACCTTGTAGAAACATGCAGTGTGAGCATTCAATCGGCGGAACGGGCTCGAAGGTTTTCACGAGGTCCAACAAGATTGATTTCGAAGGCACCAGCATGGAAACAAGAGCTATCAAGGACTTGGTACGATTCAGCATTGTTAGTGCTTTGTGTCAATCATCATTGATACAATAGGCTGAGTGATCCGAACACCACTGCAAAAGGAGATTCTGCACTGCGCAAGATGCTGACGGGCTTCTAAGGTATGTTTGTACATCATTCGATACCGAAAGGGGATGTCACAGTAGACAGTACCCAACGGTGTCACCACAAATTTGCTTGGAACTGTACAGCTGAGCGGTTCTGTACCAAAACAATTATATATTTTGAGGAAAACCCGTGAATACCCTCCCAAGTAGCAAAAGCTGCCAGCCTTGGGGTCCCTTGGCGGTACCCTGAATCATTGAAGGGATGACGATGTTTGAAAGGATCATCCATAGGCTTCAGACACCATGATGGACGACATATACCAATGTCGCACTTTGGCCGTGCTGCTTGATTCTCAGGGTCTCAGGTAGTCTGAAGATGCAGGTGACATGGCGACGAGAAAAAACTGCACTGTTCGACGGTCGCCGGAGACTGCAGCTGCAAGACTTGGAAAGAACGAGACTTGTCATACAGTATTAGGGTTTGCTATTGTCCTGAGAATGACCTCACCAGATGTTCCAACATGTGCCAACACTGGACATACGCCGCATAATCTTGACTCTTGGATGGAAGAAACACTTGTGTGACTTGTCAGAGACCCATTCCGAAACGACCGCAAAATGCCACGACTTAATGGTCGAAATTTCCATTTTGATGTGGAATTAATTGGCCCTACTAGAAAAACTGAGTACCAGTAGGACCATGAAGTTCTCCGAAACTGTAAGAAAGTGTGTCAGGACAAGAATGGGAGCGCTCTTTGGAGGTTGCTCCGTGATGGCACCCAGTCTTGCCAACAGAGGGAGCAGGTTCAGGATCATTCAGGATCTCTAGTTCCAGTTCCATGTTCAGATTTGTTTTATAAGGTCCATAAGGTTATTTTGTGTTATTTTGCATGCCCTTAACATCACGCTCCTGTCCCTGCGCGGAATGTTTGACAGTGCAAAGCAAGCAACCGTCTTTGAAGCAGGGAAAAACAAGAACATATTTTCTTGTAACATCAGTCATGGTGCTTGTCATGGCTCCACAAGAAAGCTGTCTCAGCAATGTGTGTGGTCCCATCATGGATCATCAATACTTGCTAAAGCCCCAAGGACAGTTGCTGACCTGTACACCAAAGACGGCCTGGTCATGGTCGGGTAGAACGAGTCGTCAAGGGAGCGGGCTCGACAATTGTCAGACAGAAAGCTCCTGGGGTCACGGGTCAATGAGCAAGCCATTGTATGACCCTTCGACATCCTTTGAATATTCAACGATTATTTTTGGCAGAGCTGTATCTCGTGCAGTGAGGGTGAATCGTGACGTATGTATTGCAATGATGGCAGCATAATTTGTTTTAAGTCTCTTTGAAAGCAGTCTTCAAGAACACGGAGCAGTGTACTACACTGGGGTGCCAAAAGTTGCGCTTCTTGACTTCTAAAACATCACAAACCCTTTCCCCTTAGAATCCTACGTGCAACATGTCGACACCTCAGTTGCGGTCAGATTTCCACACCTGAAAGCCTTATAAATATTATAGTTTTAAACGGGTGTGGAAATCTGACCGTGCTGTACCTGCCACGCAAAACGGACGTGTTAATCCGATCCGCTGTAGACCGCAAGTGTCATGTTGGAACAGAGTAAGAAGCGTAAACTTTAGGGTTCTTGAAGTATACGCACTCCAAGGGTGGGGGTCGAGGTAGAGGTGAGAAGGCTTGGGTGCCGATGATCCCTTGACTCTTGACGTTCGAAGAGAAACATTAGTCATCTCAACTCTTATTCTGGAGCTAATTGATTTCAATCATGTCATTTCAATCCATTTCGGCGGTCCAGGCTGTAGCACGCGGCTTGCGCTGGACCTTGGCCTTGTGCTTGAGGCGCTCGGCTTTCGGTCAAAGTTGCACCAATGCTCACAGTAGTGTGTGCACGCCCAAATTTCGTGGGTTCTACTGTAGCTAGCACGTTGAACTGAAGAGAGTCACTTTCCTACAAGTTGAGCAGACATGCTTTGTATTTTGTAAAATTGCAAGATCGTTAATCGCATAAATATAGAAGCAAGCAGGCCCGATCGAGAAGCAAGTTGGCGAAACTCAGACCTGTACCACATTTCAACAACACAGACACTCCATAGGAGAAACAGCCTTCGAAAAGCTGAAAAGTGAAGTCAAAGGGGATGTTGCATTACAGCTGTGTGTCTCAGATATCTCTGTGTTTGTTTTCAGTATTGTCCCTGTCATCTCTTTGGCAGCTCTCCTTTCAACTTCCTGACATTTCCTCACAGAGTCACTGTGATCTCAATACCGCTCAGGACGAAACACACTCAGGATAATAGGTTACTGCAATTGTTTGTATTAGGCTATATTATATCTACTGTAATTAATTCCTTCCCGAGGTTTGACAAACTTGCTGCAGAGCGGAACAGAAGAGAGCAGCTACAACTTTGTGTGTATATAATGTACACATCATTACACAGCATATATACTTGCCGATGCTTGTTTGTTGCCCTTGTTGCCCTTGGCCACCTGAATTATATATTTGCTGTCAAGTTGTCAATGTCAATTAATTGCATCCTATAATGCTCAATATTGGAGCAGACGGTTCCAGTCTAGTGGGAAAGACCTGGTTCACATCCAATTCCCACGCAATGCTGTGGCAACCCTAGCTAGGCAAAACGCATGTTTGGAAACGATACCATATGGATGAATCCATGACCAGACTTCAATAGACTTCATACATATATGTTCAGAAAACCCAAACGTGGTGTAGAGACCCGCAAGATGAGGACCTCCTCCGCCGGGAAGGTTTCTGAAGTTGTGACTCAGTTGGTAGTAGGTAAGATTGGTATATGTTAAATACAGGTTGTTCTGTTTCTGTTCTAGTCTTATGTCCTGCTCTGTTTATTCTGTGGTTCAATCTTCCTTGGGGATCCTACAGTGTGGAGTTTGCACTGCAAGGTGTGAAACGTTGATTTGCGATGTGGCGCGGGAAAACCAAGAACGGACAAAGAAGACACAACGGGCAGAACGGGTCACCACAGAGACTCTCTGACAACGGGTAGCGAGGAAGTGAGACGGCAGGTTTGATGTCCTGCCTTTCTCTATGTGCGTTCCATTTTTTAGGGTTCCGCAAGAATGCGGAAAAAACACAAGCAACATAAGCAACGGAGCAGGGCGGGTCTAGTTTAACCCAAAGTTAATTGTTCAACAAACTAGGAAACCTTGAACGGTCAATGAGTCAAAGATTTGCAATCAACATGGAAGTGGCACAATCCCTTTCAAGTGCTTGATTCGTGGAACCCCGTTGAAACTTTCGAACAATGAAGAACCTCGCCTCCCTTGCCTGATAGTTCTTCCAACAAACGAGGAAGGCATCAATGTTTACATGTCAGCAATACAGTTGGTAGAGCAGCTCCATGGCTAACCTGGATTTCCTATATCAACATTCAAAACATGACTTACTTGTTCCCTTGAGAGAATAACTCGATAAGAACAACCAGTGGCGCCGATTCAGACCGCACAGAACTACATATATATATATACATACAGTGTTTTGCATGAGTTTTTGTCTTAACAGGAAAAAACAGGGCGAAGCAGCATTCATTCAGGTGGTCCGACGGGGTCATGTTTTCGCAGGTCAGAGAGCCAGATCGGCCATACAGTCTCGGTGCCTAGTGACTAGACACGAAACGAGCGAGCCGGTGGGCCGGCGGAATCAGAAAGGAACAATTGTGGCATTGTGGTGGCAGGATTTGTTGGATAATTATTGGCTGCAGCTATTGACTATTGATACTACAATGAGCTCACTCCAGGAAAGAGTTCATTGGATATGATGGCTGTCTTTTTAGAGTTGGAATAGGTTTGGATCAAGATCGTCCAAATCCATCAACTCTTGGCCGGTGGATGGGCTGAGGGAATTGATAGGGAATTGATATTCTTCACAGCAATGAAGCCTTCATTGTTGTGATTTTCTGTGCTCAATTGTTTTTGTCGCACTGCCTAGGCCTTACTTGGCACCTTCTCCAAGGGTGAGAAGCATGTCTCTCAGGATGTTGCTTTTGGGATATGTATATATACTGTACATGAGCATACTGCTGTTGGCCTTGCTAAAGTAGTCTGCCGCATGCTCTATTTGCTTGTCTATCATTAGTATTCGCTCGTGAACGAGATAGGGCCCCCACATAAACGAGATTCTTTTGCTTGATGACACTCAAGTAATCTGAACGAGATAGTGTGATTTGCTACTAAAGTAGTCTGAACGAGATAATGTGACATGACCTCCTACTTAAGTAGTCTAAATGAGATAGGCCCCCCCACATATTAGATAGTGTATTTGAGTTTAGTACCAAATAGATGCCGCTGCACACATAGAACATCACATTTATAGAAATGCCTTACGTTCAGAACTTCTCACTGATGAAGTTTAATGCCAGGCTGAGGCCTTTTTGATAGTCTGCTGTGGGTTTCTGGATGCTCAGCCTTCATCGCTTGCGTGTGGCAATCTTGGCTATCAGGATGCCAAATGACCCCAGTGATACAAAGACAGAAGCATCTTTTTGGGCACTTTCATTTCCAAAAGTTCAATCACCTTCTGACTATTCTGAGTCACCAAATTGTATACAGTCTAAGTGGTTGACAAGCTTTGATTACGTGGGAAGACACAGGATGCCATCAATGCAATGACAACGCCTATTGCGCAGCTGAAGGCATTGACTAAGGGGCGGACCTGGGCTTTCACGGACTTTGAACTCAAAGACACTGTGGGCAAAGGTACCTTCAGTCGAGTGCGTGTTGTCAAGATAAAAGGAAGTCATGACAGGTCACCAATGGCCTTGAAAATACTTCGCAAGGGAGACGTGATAAGGCTTAAGCAGGTGGAGCATGTCAAAGCCGAGAAGCAGATTATGTCTATGATCGAGCACCCTTTCATTGTCAATTTGCTTGGCTCCTTTCAGGATGAGAAGCGGCTGTTTATGCTCCTTGAATATGTGAACGGAGGAGAGCTGTTTTCATACTTGAGACGAGAAGGCCGCCTTCCAAATGAACACGCTTGCTTCTACAGCAGTGAGATCATTCTGGCATTTGGCTATTTGCACAGTTTGCACGTTGTTTATCGAGACTTGAAGCCAGAGAACGTGCTGCTGGACTGTGAGGGCCACGTCAAGATCACTGACTTTGGGTTTGCCAAAGTGGTGGAAGAAAGAACCTGGACTCTTTGTGGCACTCCTGAGTATTTGGCACCAGAAATCATTCAATCCAAGGGTCATGGCAAGGGAGTCGATTGGTGGGCATTGGGCATCCTGCTCTTTGAAATGATTGCAGGATATCCACCTTTCTATGACGAGAATCCCTTCGGGATCTATCAGAAGGTCTTACAAGGCCGTGTCGATTTCCCACGCCATTTTGACGTGAAGGCGAAGGATCTGGTTAAAAGATTGCTGACCACTGACCGGACCAAGCGCTTTGGATGCCTAAAGGCCGGAGTTGAAGACGTGAAGAGGCACAAATGGTACAAGGCAGTGGATTGGGATTCCCTGCTTGCCAGAAGTGTTCCTCCACCCTTTCAACCACCTGTGCAAAGTGAAGACGACACGTCAATGTTTGAAAGATACCCAGAAAGCACAGAGGCTTCTGCGCCATCAATCTCCCCAAAGGAGCAAGAGGGCTTTCAGGAATTTGACACCCCGATAGCCTAATGGATGGCGGCTTGAAGCGCTGCGCTGCTCCGTGCCCCTTGGAATTCCTCGTGAGAATGTCTTCCTTTTCTCGTTGAATTGCAGCGTCCAATGCTGCTATTTGTCGTTGGGCGCCCGTAGGGACCTGACTCCACTGTCACCGCACCACAGCATTTCACCGCCCGCATCGGCGAAGACAAATACCTTTTCGATGCATGCTGGGTGTTATGAAGTAATTTAATCGAGTGGATCAGCATGTTTGCTTTGTCAGCCTGTCGGTACTTTTGTAATCTTTTGTATCTTTGGAAATGGATGCTTGAGGTGGCAGCTAGCTCTTGATTTGTATGCGCCTCGGTTAAACTGGAAACCGATTCAACTCTTGGCTGCACAACTTTTGGCGCTGTCTGGCAGATGGGAGGAATTAGCAACAGAAGAAATGCCGTTGACAAATAGAAGTCCATGCATCAGCAAGCCCCTGACAGGGGCTAAGTGTTCCTAGGAGATTGGGGTCATAAAGCGAATATGGGAGGCTTTATGATGCCATTGGCCATTGGCGGGATCTGGGACCTGGGAGTTCTGCACTTACACTAATGTCGACGTCGGATTAATCACCCCCCTTCAAAGTCAACAAGGTTTGAGATTGGAGGTATTTGAGACCGCAGACCACATCCCCTTTATAAAGGTGATGACCTGATGATGGATGATGAGATGATGACACGATTACGACATAATTATTGGGATTGGGATGATTGTGAAGATTAGGAACGCGATGAAAGAGATTGGAAGACAAGATTCTTTCTTTAATTGGGATGATTAGGAAAAGAACGAGGATTGCAGCATCAAAGAGATGGAAGGGTGCTTGATTAATAGGGGAGGGGCCCCTACCATTGGAGGGATGTGATGAGGTAGAGTTTTAATAAGGAAAGAGTTTTGCCAGCGAGTTTTTTTGTGTTTTGACAAGGACGGATGAGAAGAAAAATACGGATGAGAAGCAGAAGGAGGACAAGAATGATGGATGAGTGGACACCAGCCAAAAAGAAAGTAAAACAAAATCTGCCCAGCTGGCTTGATTAATAGGGGGAGGTGGAAGGTGTTTGCCAAGGAACATGTTTATTAGGGGTAATGGACATGTGACATGTGGTTAAATTATTACAGTATATAGTTTAGCATAGGGCCCTCGAGCTGGGCTTGATTAATAGGGGGAGGTTACTTAATCCTAGTCTTAATTCCTATATATGTCAACATTAAGCCACTCACTTTGTGCCTGATACCGAATCCAAGTAGGGAAGTGTCATGTTTCTCTTGCTCACTGAGCGCGTCGATGGCGAATCACCACACCTTTCATGACATCGCAAATCATTACATGACATCGCAATTTCACCGCGCCACATTTCATCAGATGTTACTTCAGAACAAGCCACAACATTGTCACAGTATTGCACTTGACCACATCACGAACCACAGCCGGCTTACAATTTACCGCAGAACATGTTACCACATCACGAATCAGACAGTTGTAGAATCACCACACTATACTTCACCGATCTACGAAACGTTACACTTCACCACATGACAAACCGTCGCAATACATAGTAGGTTTCGTCTCAATCAAACAGTTCGGTCCCTGCTAGGAAGTGGTTTCAGTCCGGGTCCAATTGTTGAGGCTGCAATCTGCAGGCACTTGCCGCTCAAGCGCTGACTCGCAGGCATGTTCAGCAATCGGATGAGCGGTTTTGTTGTCAATAACACAAAATCAACAAGCGAAAGGATGCAACGGCTAAGGAAGATATTAGTGGATTGTTTGGGACCGGTGACCGGGATGTTAAATTCTCGAAATTACAAGTGTTGCTTTCTTTTTGCATTGCTTTAATTCCAAGCAGGCCACGGCAATTGCAAGTGTTCATTGTTTGCAAGAGGTTGTCATCATGGAATTACTGGACATATTTATTGAGTTTGTTTTCTTCCCGCAGGTGTGTGCAAGCGCTTTGTTTGCTCTTCAAGGGCGTTGGCGACGGGCCGGGGCGTAAGGGGCGCAAAGATCACAAGTCATGAAACTCTCCATTGTCATGAGTCATTGAAGGGTCAGAGAGGTGGAATACCTTGCAGAATTCTTTCAGGAGCCAAAGTAATGAATGAGGGTGTTCAACTGTCCCGACTCAGATCTTCTTGTCTCGGAAGCGTTTCTACTCATCAAGATGACCGATCAGATGTGGTCAGATAGTGCACTCTAGTCACAAGCCCAAATTTGCCACTCGCTATCTAAATTGCGTTTCATCACACAAAATAATGATTGTTCCAGATGCAATCACAATGTATACTGAAGGACATGTGCGAGTTGTTGTCAGCAGTTCAATACAACGCTTCAGCAACAAAATGGCACTGCGGCAAATCATCTAAAGTATTGTTCTCATGATGCATTCTCCATGTCGTGAATTGAATTGTTGTGGCACGTTGCTACGTTTGATATTATTGAACAAGCTTGCAACATGAGTGGATCTAGTTTCGATGCTACAATGTTTGCCCCGCAGAGGGCAGCTCATTGAATCATGCCCTGCAGGTGTTGGGCCTATTGCCGAGCAGGAAGGTCATATCCCCGAACCTGCTGGAGGTGACTTGCTTGCAGACGCATGGTACCGAAGCCAACGGACGACCACAAGACCTGAACGTTTTGGCAGTGTGTTCTATTCATACATACAATGTTATATACTGTATAATATGTCTAATTTTCAACATTTCATTCACTTCTTATGTTTAAAAGAGTCTAGCTGTTCTTGTGTTTATTGACCTCAAAGATGTCCCTGCGAACAGAGCGCTTTGTCAACAATAGACCATTGCTGTTCAACATAGGCAACACAGGTGTGCATGTGCATGGACACATGGGATGAGGAAGGAGCCCTTATATAGATGCTTTCTGAAAGCAAGTCGCCATGGGCTTTCTACATGTTCTTTGGTCATGTCTACAATTTGGATCAATTTGGCCTTTCGGAACTGATCTCTCATTTACATGTTTTGCAGTGCTTTCAAGTTCCCTTCCAATCTTGAGATAGGAACACCAAAGCTGCATGTGAAGAAAGTGTTTGCACCAAGCATCAGCATCAAGGAAAAAGCACTAGTCGAATCTCTCTTGTTTTGAACGAGTTTCTTGCAACATTTGAACCTGCTTGAATGATAGACCTCACAGACAGACGGACAGACAGGAGACACAGAGAGAGAGAGAGAGAGAGAAAAGGGCAGGCTTTCGACATAGTTCCTTTTGACCCATCACACCATATACTATATATAACAAATCCTGTGTTTACTAAACACACTTTCCAAGGCTGCCTTGCAGGCCTGCGCTGCAGCCATGCAACGGGGGCAGGCCGAGTTACGAGTGGGCGATATGGGGTCCATTGCTATGATGTCGCAGGCAGCACGTCTCTTCCAGCAGCTGTCAAGGTGCCTTGGCCAATCTTCAGTCCCACAGATTGACCATTGGCTTTCCTTTTTGATGAACCAGCTGGGTCCGCTTGGTTGGAGCATGATATATTTATTCGTTGATGCCAAAGCGCGCTACATTGTGCACATATGTTACTGTAATAACATCCTAATAACATCTAAAAACGATAGCAATTTCTCATGCACAGAAGCTACAAAAAGTATGATACCTTGGGACTTTCCTGTGTGCACATATTTGCGTGCGTTTCTGCAAGGCACCGCGCAGTAGTGAAAGCAGTGCCGAAAACTATGCCAAACGATACCTGCATTGTGTGTTTGGATGCCCCGGGAATCCAGTTGCCCACCTGTGCATGGCTATAATTTCTGACTGGGAACTTGCAATTTCTTTTCCCCGCTCACTCTCCGAACCTGGTTGGCCCGACTAAGTGGCGGTTCTGAATTTGCCACATGCAGCCGAGTGCGGGGCTTCACCAAGGGCCCAACGGCCTGGAGTGTCACATTGCCAGATGAGCCATATATGAATTGTTGCTCGAATGCCACCAGTAGTCAAGGTTGCCGTAGGCGTGTTGCAGGGTTTGTTGGTCAGAGCGGAAAGACCTTGCAACCCAAACCAGCCAACCCTTCCTACATTCCGTGGACAGGGGTGCTTTCGAGTTCAGCTTGCGAGCCAGTTTTCATGGCGTGCTTTCAATCTTCGCTCGATCAGCCGAGCAGGGCGGGTCGCAGGTGTCTCATGTGCCGTGGTGAATCCATCCAGAGCCCCACAGATTCTTAGTGGATCCATCCACGTTCGTCCTTTGCGTGCAGTTGACACAAAGCGGAACCGAAAAAGCTCTGTGAAAAAAGTGTTTGTTTGAGATCTTGCACGTGCACGTGCTCTCACCATTCGCAAGCCCACTGCAAATCTAGCATGCAAGAAATGGACAGGCTGTTTAATTTACATGTAGATGACATCGCAACAGATTGAAAAACAATAGGAATCCCAAGAACGATATATACCTACCTTGAAAATATCCTCTCAGGGCACCCCTGGTTTTGCCGGTCGTTCGGGTGCTGTTGAACCACAAGTCTGTTGTTCTATCCAATGATTTTTGATGATTTGTGCAGCCTTTGTTGACTGGGACGCCTCTATAGACTGCCAGATAGGAAGGGCGAGGGTATTGAATCGCGCCGCCAGTTGGAGAAATCCCGTGGTTCTGGAATTTCAAAGTTTTACCATTTTTGTTGACATCGCAAGCTTTATCAACTGAACCAATTTTTGGTCATGTTAGGCCTCCTGAGCCATGAACGAAGTCACTGTGGCACTGCAGGTGATTGAGGAGTCGATTCCCAGCTTGGTTCCGTGGTCCATTTGTGTCCCCTCCGGGCTTCGACCCGAACTAAGTCCCAGCATCACTGCCTTCAATGCACTTTTGGCAGCCTGCGGAGTGGGTCTCCTCGGTCGGGTGGGCTCTCGTTCAACGTCCGATGGCGAGCCTTTCAAGGTTTCTTTGCGTGGTTGGCCAGGTCAATGATAAGATTACGAGTTTTTGAGTATTGTTTGTCGTATATGTACTTCTCAGACCAGCGTTTTGCCCACATGTAAATTGGTGCACAGACTCGCGGGTTTGTAGATGTTACAATGATATTGCTTTGGGATTGGAACCATTCATCAGGAGTGTGCACTTCAACACGGTATTGTTTGTTGGGTCGTCCTGCATGCAACATGCACCTGAAGCATCAGGCAGCTTGGCAAGAAGCGATTTGGTTGCTTACAAGGCTAGAGGCAAGTCTTGGTTCTTTCAAGAGGCTTCATTGTGGCGGCTTACATTCGGAACTGCTTTTTATTGGTCGCAAATTCGTTTCAGTTTCAACTAAGTAAAGTCGATAGTGTGAATTTGATCTGATGTACCAAAGCAATCAAGCTCAAACCCTACTCCGAAGGCTCCCTTCAGATGAGCTTTGGTGAGCCACCATACCGGCTTGACCAAGTGCTGCCAGAAGAACAGGTGTTTTGTCAGATATTCTATGATATTCTATATAATTTCCGTGTTGCAGGCGACTGCCAGACCCAGCTGCGTCAGCAGGAAGCCCGGGCCGGCATGTCATCACTGGTTGTAGTGCAGAGCAGCCTTTGCTACAACCCCTTTAACGAGATGTTTCAATAATCAGGTTTCTATAAGTCATGATTGACGGCGTGTGCTTGTATGTGTCGTTCTTGGGCTGGCTGACTAATGAGTATATATACTAATTAATCAGCGAACATGTTCGTTTGGGCAGGGTGATTTGTCTTGGACGTGCAAGCACATGGCGAGTGGTTGACAATGTAATTACTGACAGTGCTGCTACAAGCGGGATGCGTTGAATTCTCCAACATTTATTCTAGGTTCTAGGCTCTGGACCCAGGTTTGTTGGCTGCAGCAAAGAACCCTTTGGCACGCCCTGTGACCGCGGCAAGGGGCTTGTGAACCCTTGATTTGGAACACCATACCATACTCCTATAGCTTTGTACCCTGATGACACGGCAGAGTGCTTTTCCCAGGAAGCTAGGGTACTCATGAGACTTCATTGTCAGCCATCAAGAGTGTGTTATAATGTTCCCTGCCTTAGGGAAATTAACCCGGGTGACTACTGAGTCTCGGATTAATTTTCTTGATATGTGTTTCATTCTTTTCAACTCAGTGTACCGTGATTCTGTGCACACCTTCCATTCAGTGGTCGTAGATTTGGATGAGACCAGACAATGGGCCATGGGGAAACGAGATGAAAAAGAGCTCACCCGTGCGGCGCCTCGAGACCTAGAAAATTAATCGAGACCTCTGCAAGCGCTTTGAGCTCAGACATGGCAGAATTATGTAGAGTAGTTGGGGTGCCCCTGGATTAATTTCAACCCCCCCAGCTTAAGAATTAATCCAGACTCAACATCCTCCAGATTAATTTTCCGAAAACACCCCGGAGGCAGCCAGATGATTTTTCAATTTAATCCAGGGGTACCCCCCTCTACTCTCACAACTAATTCTGTTGTGGGTTGTTGGAGAACGACTTAAAAGTAGGATTCCTAACTCCAACCTGACAACTTCAAGGTACCCCACAGCATCCCGAGCAGCCTAGAGCCCTGCTACAGTGTGTGTTTGAGTATTTGTGTCTTGAGTCTTGAATTTGTAAAGTCTCACCGGGCCTGAGCCGGCCAGGTACTGTCTCGCCTGCAAAACTACGTGCAAACGGGGCCAGCAAAGGAGCCTGAGTGTATGACTCACGACGGTTGTGAACAAGCCGTGGACCATGGCATACACTTGGCAGATACTGGTACTCCCTCCCGGCTGCGAAGTTTGTGCGGCAAGGCCATCACATTTTGTCACAAGGTTGTGCGGCAAGTGGGTTACTTTTCTAGGTAGACATTGGTGTTTAGACAAGGCAGTGTTGCAGATAAAAGAGGTTCATCCCAGTCAGCTTTCCTGACCCGCAATGAACTCAAACGGGTCATATGCGAATATATGAGGCCTCAGCTTTCATCAGTCCAACGCCAGGAGGTCAATGCAATGGTCTCTGCCGTGGACCTTCTTGAGGTGTCTCCGGCTCAGGAATCCACCACCAATCCACCCCAAGAGCCAACTAGGAGCAAGGACGCTACTAGGGGTTCCTGGCCTTACTACTAGGAGCAAGGACGCTACTAGGGGCTCCTGGCACAGCTACTAGTAACAAGAAGCTACTAGTAGCAAAGGGCATCGCTACTAGGAAGCAATTATTACATATTATTACTGTTTCATGGCGCATGCTGGGGCCTGCTACTTAAACATGATGCAACAGAGACGTGACTGTAGACGGAACAGATGCGTAGACTCCAGACACCGAATACGGCGCACATGTACAGCAGGACTGGAATAAAAGTAGGACGTCAATTCCTGAATCTGAAGATGCAAGATCTTCAGCACCTGTCCCTGCAGTTATTTCCTTGGCCCAGTTGCACGGGTTCCGCTTTACGTCCGTCACATTTTTGGGAGGAACGGGATGGATGGGATGCTTGCACTGAAGGCTGGTGGGGGACAGGGGTGAATGGATAAGATACCATTGAAACGGTAAAAAAAGAGTTCTTGGAGCTTGCTATAATCATTGCAAACAATCGCTGCGTTCACTCATCGCAGTGTGAAGCGGGTGCGTCGGCAAAGCAACATGGTCATTTTTTTGTGTTGAAGTTGAGTTGTACATCACATACGGCATTGCAATATTTTGGGGGCTTGGGAGTGACCTGCCACTGAAACGGTGTGTTTCAGCCCCTTAAAGAAAACTACACATCTTGAGGCATGACAAAGTCCAACCAGGTGCTTGGCAGCGCCGTGTCCGTGCACTTCAAGCTGGGAGGCCCAGTGTCTTCAGTGATGCTGAGGTTCATTCCAAGCATGGAGACTTCAGTTTCAGAATTGTTTCAACTTCTCACTGGAAATCTCTAAAATATACTATGACAAAGTGGTGAAAGACATCCGACAGTGGCATATATTTTATACATGTTTTATACTAGATACTTTATATTTAATATTTGAGACATTAGCATATATATATATACACATAAAACAATCAATGTTGGGTCCATATCGCATTATATCGCCACGCCACAGCTGGCTCCATGCTCAGGGCTTTACAGGACCATTTGGATTCACCGGTCTCAGGTGGCTGCGGTGGTGAAACTGCAACGAGGCGCGCCCGCAGGCGTCCCGCCGCTCTGCGTGGCCTGCGGAGCAGCTGGCGATGGTTGACGCCTGATGTATGACGTACGGCACGTTTCTCTCTCTCTCTCTTTCTTTGGTGTGTATATAGACAGTAATTATATAAATCATGACATGTAGTTGCATCACATAGTTATCATATCAATATAGGAATAGAAGTGCAAAATACATTAAACATGCATAGTTTGCATGTGGTGATGTGTGATGGAGCGGTGCTGAAAAAGAAAACACATGTATTAAGGTATTTGCTTGTTTCCTTTGACTCTAACCTACTGTATTAAGTTTAGTAGCGTTACACCCACACTCGATCTGTGGCACTAGCGTAGAGGTATGAGCGGAAATAGCATGTTCATACAGAAAGTCGCCTGTTTACAAGTTTTCTAGTGTTGTTCTCAGCCTTGTTGGCTTGAGCTGCACACGTTGTCACATTATGTTGCCATACTTTGCCGGTCGTCCTGATGCAGGAACATGCCGCAGTCCTGGCAGAGCTTTGCGTTTGAGAAACCGCATCCTGGACGGGGCCTTCTTTGAACTTATTGTCAAATGTTGAATCAGCTTGTGCCATTTATAATGATCTCACATGGTTTCCATCAATATGCCATGGCCTAACGTCAGGACAACTTGCTGAGTTTATTAATTACTCTGGACCTTTGCCATGTTGATGAATGCATTTTTACCACAGAGGTCAGCTTTCCTGTGGTTCTCAGTCGGTTGAAGTTTGAAGGATCGCATTGCCGTGGGTGAGGTGAACAATTCTGGCTCGAAACTTTCCCACACTATGATCGCATCATCCAGTTTCAGGGTCTTGTGCTTGCAGGAGCAACAACACTCGTTGGGAAAACGTGGTACCGAACTTGCCCTGGAGGCTCTGAAAGCGATTCCAAGTGTTTATTCGGAGATGATTACTTTCTTGTTATTTCTTGTTACTTGTTCCAAAATATTGAAATACCCAAGAAGAGCGATGGAATTCCGCGTGGCATCAATGACTGCGATCAAATCTTTTGGTGCTAGTGCGAGCTTGAGAGTTTGATAGCTGGGCAGACCATTGTGAGCTTTAGCTGGGACTGGACAGTTTGCCATCAGCACGGCTACTGGGAACAAGGACGCTACTAGGAGCAAAGGGCATCGCTACTAGGAGCAAGGACGCTACTAGTGGTTCCTGGCCTTACTACTAGATGCAAGAAGCTGCTAGGAACAAAGGCCATCATCACCAAACGGCTTGACCCTGGGTTCTCGCTGACGGGCTAGGCAGGTGGCAGCAGAGCTTGTGGGCAATGGGCGTGGCAGCACAGAAGCTCATTGCAAGTGATGCGATTCTGGCGATGTACGTGTTCTGCATTGGTGTTTTTGTCAAACTTACGTACTTGCGTAATTTGGAGCCTCCAGTGCACAAGGCGATGTTTGCCACATGTGTGCCTCGATCAGCAACAATGAAACACACATTCAATCCAGCATGGACTGGACAATGATGCTAATTGTAAACATATATCACTTGCTTGATTTGCTGCTTGCGGTTGTACGTACCGTACTACCATTTTGACAAAAGAAAAGATAATTCTGTTTGATAGAACCGATTCCTTCTTCTGAGTTATCGTTATTGGAGCAACCTCTGAGTTTCTCCGTTTTCCTTCCCAACGCTTTGCTGCGCTTCCGTCCAGGCCCTGCGGGCTCGGCAGCGTCTCCGTACCGAGCTAGGCAGCACAGCCAGATTGAAGGTGCTTGAAGGGTAACCAGCGTTAAGACAGTTAAGAAGCTACTATATAGTAACCAAGGGCATCGCTACTAGGAGCAAGGATGCTACTAGTATCTCCTGGCATTACTACTAGTAACTAGTAGCAAGAAGCTACTAGGAACAAAGGACATTGCTACTGTGAGGCTTTGCAGGGTTTCACAAGTGCACATCATGGAACCGACAACGAAGAACTCTGGAACTCCCGGGCGATCCCTGCACTGTAGCCACTTGTGGATTTGCCGCTTCAATTGCAATTCTGGAATTCTCTCACTGGTAATTCTCGCTGCCCACGTGCCAGGCTTCAGGTCAGATGGCCTACTTGGCTTGGAGCCTAAAACAGGCTTTTACAGCCTGACAGCTGTTTTTGTCATGTTCCCTAAACATCTAGTTAGTATCCAAATCATTAGTGCGTGAGGTATCCTGTGTCCGTATGTAGTAGCGTCCTATTGCTAGGTGCTTGTTTACCTTAAGTAAGTAGGTGCCTACTTTCTTAAGTACGGGCGGGCTTTAAACACATGCAAATCATTGGAAGGTTTCAACAGCAACAAGTCACATCGATGTACAGACCCTTTGTTATCTTGTTTTTGCACCTTGGTTTTTGCGCCAGAAATTGCGGAGGGTGTGTCCTTTCCATCAACTGAGGGGGGTGTGCACAGACTTGCTACCACGTGCATGGTATACATACTCACGACATTCAGATTGACATGTTTATCTCGTCAATCTTCAAGTGTTGTATTTAATGAACATGCAGCTTACACGTTGATCCAAAATGCAGTCATCCAACCAGATCCCGCTTTGATGAAAGTCTCAGGTGCCTCAGTGTTTTAATAACATAACATGCCTTTCGGAATGAAGGACCGGCCCCCAAACCCACAAAAGTCAATCATGTGGAGTTTGTTTTGGCGCAGAAGCGCAGATGCTGCACAAACCCAACACAAGTTTCTGATATCAGGTCAAAGCCAGAGCCTAGCATTTCAATGTAGTTCCCTTGAGAAGGCTTCGACAGAACTCGGGACTTGGCCTGCAGCCATGGCACAGCCAGTGCAGATGACGCGCTACTATCCGGCTCCCCAGGGCTATCGACGCTCGCCAGCAACGAGTTGTTCTATGTTTTCTTTGTGCTACTACGAGAGTGGAAACATATTTTAAAGAGCATCTAGTAAAGCCTAATCAATCGTCAGGACTGCATACATTAGATTGGATGTCGAAGGGATTTCTCGATACGTGTCATGGTCAGCAACCGTTTCCAAGAGATTTGCCGTTGTCATCTTGTCAAGGGGTGGACCTTCCAGTGCTTTGAAGCTTTTGGCAACGATCAATTCTCAATTTAAGGCTATGTGCTTCCTGCCCACTTGGGTGCGCGAGCACGGACGCTCATGGCACTTGAGCATGAGCGGGATCACCGACAGAATGAGGCACCGGGAAGGATGTCTTCCTGAGAAAGGAGCCTTCTTCGGCGGTATTGTGAGCGTTGCTGGAATGTGCCAAGAGATTGCTTCCGCGCATTGAAACAGCTTCTCGGACATATCTCACAACTCCAACCCACTCCTATCTACTGACTCTGCTCCACATATTGGAGCTTTTTGTTTCACACGCTGGCTTGGGTTTGGAAATTGTTTGAGAGAGGGGCAATGACAGAGGACCTTAGCTCCTTGGTACCAATGATACCCCAGCACGCCAGCCGTTGTTCCAGCCGTTGTTTAGTTCAATAAGAGTACAGTATTATTTCATATTATTTCATTATATATTATAGTAATCATGGTAATAACAATAATAAACATATATAATATGATATATGTATATCATACAGTATAGTATATAATACAAATATAGCACATATTGTATACTGCATGTAAGGAGGTGATTCTTCAAACAATAACAACTGATGCCCCTCAAACTAAAGACACGATGCCCCGGTTCTCCAAGTCAAGTGTTCAGAAGTTATGTGAGATGCACTGATTCATGGGCAGGCGATTTCAGACGAGGCTGCAGGGACCAACTCGCGAGGTTAGTCCATGTTTGTCTCTGTGTTTGTGCCAGTTTGTTCCCTTTAAAGGGCAACGTGTACAGAGTAGCCTCAGTAGCCCTCAAGTTTCAAGTGTTCAGCATCTCAGACACGATGTGCAGCCTGCAAAAGAAACACTACTGTAAAAGTGTCAAATCCTTGTTACTGGTAGCTTCTTGTTACTAGTAGTAATGGCCTCCAACCTAAAAGCGATGGCCTCCACCTAGTAGCTTCTTGTTGCTAATGATACAGAGAAGTCAGCTGCGATTGGCCTTTCGTCATCCTACGTGCAGGAACACAGGGCGGAGCGCGAGCAACACGCGTTGACCTTTGCCCGCTGGGAGGCAGGGGAGAGCAGGATATTTTGGCCAAGACAGATTAGTGTGTGGTGTTTCCTAGGCAAATATGACGAATTAATCTATGTCTTCGACTAACATGTGCTGTGCAATCCTGTGCACAACTCCACGACCACACGGCCATGTGGAGTGCGCTCCAGGAGAAAACGGGCTCCAAAGCACCTCGTGGAGCTGAATCACAGAGTGGCCTTGGTGGAAAGGGGAGGATTGGCGATCAATAAGCTTAGACAGGTGACTCCGTGACTCCTGGGGAGGCCATCGCTATAACGTAGGTTGGAGGCCATCGCTAGTAGGTAGGAGGCCATCGCTATTAGGTTCCTTAAAGTTTGTTTCTTAAAGTCTTTTGATCAATAGGCTGATAGGCTTATATAATAGATATGTGACTCTGTGATTCCTGCTTCCACTGACCGTCACTGACCGCCGGTGATTCCTTGGTAGTTGTGAATTAGCGAAGAACAAACAGATCAGTATCACTCACTGGGCTGAAGAACTTGCGGTGTGTTTGTTCCTTTGTTGTTGTAGATCTGAACTCCTTTTCCGCATCTTGTCTGACTCATTTCGACGTTTTGAACTTGCATGGTTGCATTATGATGTAGTTGTTGATGAAGTATGGTGCATGAAACTTGTCCCGCAACTTCACAATCTTAGACCCTTGAAATGTAGAGCAGAGACCTCGGGTGGGGGACTTGCAGCAAGGTCCCCTATTTGTATGTGATAAATAATATAGTATAATATACAAATTGTAGAGCCTGGCAGTGGACAGGACAGCTATACTCTCTTGTATCATGCTATGCAATGTCATTATTTGCACTTCACTTTGTTGCATTGGGCACGGGTCAGGTTATGAGATGTACAATTCCGAACACTATGTGGACAGATTCGGGGCGAGGGCTGAGGGACTCAATGCCTGCATTTGGATAGGCCATGACTGATTGATTAAAGGACGAAGTTGTAGGGTGGTTTGTATGTCCAAAAAATGAGAAGAAATGAGTTTTTGCATTTGAAGAGCTCGAAATGAGTTTTTGCATTCTGTCTCAGTCTCAGCTGCAGCCAGGAGCATTTGCTAAGCCACGGCCTTCTCTCAGAAGAAGTGAGGACTTATTTTCTCTTACTTGATTTGTTTACTGCCGATCTTCATGTCGGGACTAGTATTCGATCATGTGTGCACTTCTTGCATTACCTTGCAAAGAACATCTTGAATTTCACTCCCTTTCTAGGCTGTGGCAGAATGGACAACGTCAGAAAAGAACAAGTCTCAAATCTGGGCATTGGAAGCTGGCGCAAACAAGTCAGTCCTAGGGTCCTAGAGGCTTAAAACAAACACATCAATTTGCAGGACTGCCTGACACTAACCCTTAGGCCACGCAAGGAAAATGGACAGATTCTATTGAAAGGCAACGATAGTAAAGCTCCACCCAAGAGCAGGAATTCAGTTGTGGACTGCTGATCAAAGTTGGCACTCGTCCACGTGTTCATATGTGACGTGCTGGAATTATATACAAGGTTTCCGGCCATGAAGATAATGTGTTTTCTGTCATTCTGTTGAGTTTAGGCTACTTTTACAGTTTCTCAACATTTCCAGATGCTGTGCAGGAAACGCCCTTGTGGAAAGCTCATACCAGGCGCAAGCAGACTTCACCAACCACTAGAAGCTTGAAATTTGGAAGACCCAGACAACCACAAAATACCACAAATTGAGAGTCTTTGAGTACAGAAAGGGGGGTAGAGGATGCTACTAGTTACTAGGGGCTCCTGGCATCGCTACTAGGAGCAAGGACGCTACTAATAGCTTTTTGTTACGATCTGGAAAGCTATGACTCTTGGGCCGTCGCACGTTGGTTGGATCGGGTATTTGAATGCGAGGCTTGATGCGCTGGCTCTTCCTTATCCTTATCGGAGTTGGATCTGGTTGCGTGGCTGTCTTCGTGGACTTTTCCATTTCACAGGCCCGGTGCTGACGGTGCTCAGTGGACAGTGGACTCAAATACAAGCTATAGCTAAGCTAGTCTTAGCTATTGGCATGTCTTCGTTGTCATAATGTAGCAAATATGTCTCTCAATTGTTCCTTTCTCAACAGTTTTTACGTTCAAGCCTTTTTTGTTTCTGGGACTCACAAGCTCTTGCTGCATATCAGCTCCTCACAGACCGGATTCAAATATTCTGGCAATTTTACTCATGGTACTTCTTGGAAGTGGGAAGCATCGACTTGCCTGGAGGTCTATGAGACCAGGATGCAGATCAACGATGAGGTCTACAAAAGTGATGCGCCCGTCATTGGCTCAGTGTGCTATGAGAGAAAGGTCTGTCAGCATGGCTGATCATGTGTGCACTTGTCCGACTTGGTTTGATTTTCTTAAGCAAGTCACACGGTTCCAGAGGAGGTTCTTTGGCTTTGGGCTCTTCTTCTCGGGGTTCAGACACCATGAAATCTCTGTCAAGTTCAACGTTGACCCCTTGTCAAACCCTATGGGCTTACTTCGTGGCGCACCCAAGGTCTGGAAGCAGCTGCTCGGTGATAGCAAACGGCCACTCAAAAAGGACATGAATCGAACATTGATGTATCGATATATGATATACCTGACTCCTTTTGACCTTTTTCACTCCAAACTGCCATTGACGCAGCCGACATAGCCTGAACAAGAAACCCTTTTGCTTTCGTTTATGAAGGCATGCGGGAAGCGCTTTCGCAACCATTTGTGGAGCCAAAGAACCAAGCACGATCGGTTTCCAACATCCAGTTTGGCCAGATTCGGAATGCTCTAGGAATGCTTTCCTCCGCACCAGAACCTGACAGCTCGTTCTTATTATACACATTATACATTCTATTTCTACTGCCTTTCTTTTTGGATTGCTAGAGTGGAAATTGCAGCTTTTTGAGAGTTTGACCAAGGTTTGACCCAGTGAATTCACCAATCTAGCTGAGGTACTTGGTTTGGGTGGCTGTAGCCATGGGCTTGGCAA